TGACAAAGAGGTTACATGCAAGCTCAATCAAAAAAGACAGATGGATGGGAAGCTCTCAAGGAGCATCCATGGTGAAGCGGCGGCGCTATGGAAGAAGAGGAGTGAGGATTAGAAATCCTAGAGGTTGAAGGGCCTTCAAATGGGCCGCCCCCTTTTTGTACCTCTGTTGAGTTTAAATTTTGTTTTTATTAATTGTGATTTACTTAATAGTAATTAGTATAATATTTTTTTTTATTTAATTGATCCTTTTCTTTTATTAAATCAAAAATTAAAACTTAAAACATCTTAAGCTAAAGAATTATCGCATTGAAAATAAACAAAAAAATATTTTTTGACGTTAAAATTAATACCTTTTTTCCTTTTATTAAAACATTAACATAAAAAACCTTAAATTAAAAACTTCTTTTCATAATTAAAACATTAAATTTTTTTTAAATTTAAGAGCATTTTAAATGAAAAACTTTATTATAATTTAAAACATTTCTTTTACATTAACTTAAAACATTTTTAATTAATTACAACAAAAATATTAAAATAGATTTTCTTCAAAAAAAAAATTTAAGTTAAAACATTTCTCTTTTAGAACGTTCTTTAAATTAAATTAAAACAATTCCTCCTTTTACATGTAAAGATTAATCCTTCCTTTTAAAAGATTTTCAAAAAAAATAAAACTTTTGCTTTAGCCGCTTTGTTGTCGGTCTAACCTCATTATCTTGTTTGTTTCGTCTTATTATTATTTCATTTGTTCATATTGTCAAATTTCAGTTGTAATTACGCGAGGCTATCGTCGCAGTTTATTATTCTTGCATTTTGGGATTTTGTAATTTACGCGAGTGATCGTCGCGATGCTTTTTGTTTTACCGCTTTCTTTATCTTCCGTACTTTAATTCTGCCGTATGATAATATTTGTCGTTTGCATGTTTTTACCGTTAGCGTCCTTCCGAAGGATTAAGTCCAGTAGTTTGACTACCGAGTCAATAACCCTAAACCTCGACCATTTCAAAACCCTAATTTGCCTAAGTGTCCCCCGTGGACAAAAATGCCCTTTACCCTAGCGTTAGGTCAAAGAGTCGTCGTACTCTGTTTTAGGGTTTCCCTCCGTGGAACATTTAATCAATCCTAATTTCAATTAATTATTTCAACATAGAAATAGGAGTTTCAGGACTCCACGTAAGCGCTTCCCTATGAACGTTTACTCCCACTGAAACCTTGACCACTGTCAAGAAGTTTCTAACCTCCCTTTCGAGGGGAACTACGATTACTCTAATTTCATTCCCTATCCAGGATACGTAGGCACAAGATGCGAATCTTGCCGAGTAAACTTAGGACTAACCCTTAGGTCTTTATATGTCACTCTCTAACCCTTAGCTCAGTATATATCTTCAAGCAAATAATTAAAGCAAATAGTAAACGATAAACAAAAGGTTCCTGTAGAGTACTACAGAAGTTTAGGGTGCTAATACCTTCCCTAAGCTTAACCAACCCCTTACCTAGGTCTCTCCCCGCATTGTCTTTACGATGCAAAATTAGGTTTTTCCTCTTTTGACCTTTTCTTTCGGATAAATCAAAGAGCGATTGTGAACTAAAGATGCGATTCAAATTAATTAATAATTTGATATCATATTCTAACCGCAACATTTGTTATGTCCTTTAACCACTAATTTCATAAATTAGTGGTTTGAGATTGCAGTGATGATGTCAGAATATGTTGTTCTCATGCTTTGAGCAAGCTCCACGGTCTTTATGGTTGGAAGGTACCGCAAAATATAGCCCAAACTGCATAATTAAGCTATTTTGAGCAAAACAGCTTCTAATAAAACCGATTGAATTTTCATTGAGTAAAGTGATTACTTACTAACCTGAAAATTTTGTTTTATATATACAAGATTGAAGATGTAACTTTACCAGAAATCGAACAAATGCGCCTAGCATATTATGTAACAATTGCATCAGAATGTCACAATTCTCTTAATTCCTTTCGAGATAAGTATGGAATTTTAAACCCTTGAATTTACTCTTTAGTTTCCTCCAAATTAAGAAGAGTTATGATTACTGACATCACCAAATTACATTCGAAGAAATTTAGCCGAATTTGGATGAGATGCAAGGGTAGCAGTTCAGATCTATGGTGCTTTCAGCAGCATGGAGTATATTAAAGCTCAGAAGATGAGGTAGTTTATGACTTAGTTTTCATACACATACATGCAAAAGGACTAATTCATAGTTACGTGCTTCGTGAATACAGAAACCGTCAATTGCAGTTTTAAAACAAAATATTTTCCAAAGCAGATGTCATCGTATCGCCAACGACAGAGTTTGTTCCATTTTCTCAAACTTAACACATTTTTAATATGTAACGGTTTTTTTCCATAGGTAACGTAGGCCTAATACATATAACAATATGACAGTGTAACCGCATACCAAATTCAAAATGATGCACTTAAGACCGGTGAGCTCGACTATGTCAACGGAGCTATATAGATTCTATTCAACAAACCGACGTAACAAACTGTCATAATTGTATTGACAATACACTTAAAAATATGTTGGTAATGTAAAATCTAATTCGTTTGTGGCCGTTATTTCAGCTGCACTTATTCGCTATTCCATAGCAGGAAACTTCCTCGGACTCCCTGCGGTCACTCCCCTCTTGATTATTTGCAGGGATGTGATTGTTGGCAGTGGAAACACAGTGGGATATGCTGCTCGTACTTTCGTCGAGTACACCGTTGTCGATGGTCGTCTTTGTATTGTGAGTTAAGAGGTATAATTTCTTTCTAAGTGCTTTAATGTGTTTCTCTTATAGGTTCAGTTTGTGGCAGTTATATTGTATACATGAGAATGGAAAAATATTATTAGACATAATGAGATTGGCATTTGTATATTTTGTAGTATACTCCACTAGTGATAATATTATATTATTTTATAGTGACCGAGACAATGTCCAATTTTGATTGTAGGTTCATGGTGGATTAGGGCCTTCAACCATAGATCCAGCTTCATCAGCAGGAGCAAACTGTATTGTTGCTGGAAGTTTTGTGTGAGTAAAGATATGCTTGTTGTTTGTTTAGACAAGGAATGAAGCAAATTATAATCAGTTCAAATTGTTTGTAATTGATTTAGTCGGTGTCATAACCGACTTCAAACATTTATATAATTCATTTCTATTATTTGAAGTTATTTTGAATACAAATTAATTGACCATGTCTTATGTGTCATATTATCGATATTTGCATTTTTTTTAAAATGTGTGATTTTTTATTGTAGTATTGAGTTATTAAATCTCATTTTCTTAAAAGAATAAATAAAGGGCATTAATAGCGCTTTTCTAGAAAGTGCTATTAAAGATAGTGTCTACAATAACACTTTTAGAAAAAGCGCTATTAAATACAAGGACTATAATAGCACTTCTACAAAAAGCACTATTAAATACCAGGACTATAATAGCACTTCTTCAAAAAGCGCTATTAAATCCTTTCATAAACAAGGTGTATGGGAGCGCGTAACAGGGCAACGATAGCATTTATAATGAAGTCCTATCAAAAGCACTCATTTTAATAGCGTTTTCAAAGCGCTATTATATGTATCAAATCTATAATAGCGGGGGCTTTTATAGCGTTTTTAAGCGCTATTAAAGGTGAAAAAAAGCGCTATTAAAAATAATTTTTGGCGTAGTGTTTTGTTTCCTATATATAGTAGACAAAGGAAAATAATGCAAACTTGTGGGATACAGTGACTTGGGTCAGTGTGGTAATGCCGAGGATAAATAATCCACAACTAGTTTTGTGTTTATGCCAGGAGATGTAATAGTTGTTTGTAGTTCAAGAAAAGAACCTGTTGTAACATTATCATCATGTGAGACTAAATACATAGTTGCCTATCTATGTGCATGCTATGCAACATGGATGGTGAATTTGATAGAAGAAAGTACAAGGAAGAATCATGTGGAAATGATCATGAAGATCGACAACATGTATGATATCAACCTGACGAAGAATCTGATAGCACGTGGAAGAAGTAAGCACGTTGAAATGAGATTCTATTATCTAAGAGAACAAGTAGCGAATGGAAGGTTGAGCCTAGAACACTGCTGACCATAAAATCAGATTGCAGACATAATGACAAAGACTATGCAGATTGAATTGTTCAAGAGATTGAGAATAATTATGAATGTAGATAGCTTAGACACAACGAATTAGGTTATGTGTTAAATATGTAATTATTTTTGTTTAGTAAGATTGTATTCGACAGTGTCAAAGTCTATATGAATTTGTCCAAGAAATTTACTTTTACAGTGTCCAACATAGTCGAATTTATTTGGGAGTCAAAGTTGTGGGCATTAGATTGGTAATTGAAATGCATATTTTACTCAATCAAATAGAGGAGACATCCTTATTTGTAATAGTAACAATTGAGTTAGAATTCAATAAAATAATCTCTCTCTCTCTCTCTCTCTCACACACACACACACACGCGTTTATGTAGCAGAATCATCTTCCAACCAATGTGTGGTTGAATCACTAAAATGAAGAACGAAGAACGAGAGACGCGATCAATAAAAAAGATTGATTCTTATTCATTATGTTGTATTCGAATTATCTAAAAAATTAGAGTTTTATTCCAACATTGACAAATTAAAATGAAAGTTACAAATTAAACTAATTTTAAAAAATTTATTATTATTGAACCATGATTAATCTCAACCAGAAAACAATTGAAACAATTATTTATATTTAAATATTTTATAAGTAACTTAGAGTTTTTTTTTTGCAAAATACATAACATCTTACAATAAAGAAGGGACTCAAGCCAAGCTCAAAATTGAAGAAAGCAATATAACAACACTGTTACAAAACTCCATAAATAAGATAATAGAACAACCAAGAATTACCTAAATAAATTAACAAGTTGGACACAAGCATAACATTGTCGAAAAAATATGAAGCGAGACCAACAAATCCAAAATATCATACTAATATTGTAGAGGCTAATTTCCATTTTCACAAACCAGAAGATTTTATAAACTGAATGAAATCATGAAAATTGTTGTAAGAAGAACCCGAAGGACTCACACTTTTGGATGCCAACTCAGCCATTTGCATAGATGATCTAAGAAACTCATCTTTCCTATTCACCATAACATCATTCACCATTTTCTCCACAACATTCCTATCACAAACATCCTTCATATCCAACCCAATTTTCCAAACCTCACTCACAAACCTACTATTAACCTGTTGATCAGCAAAGAAAGGCCAACAAATCATAGGCACCCCACAAACCAAACTCTCCAAAGTAGAATTCCATCCACTATGTGTCAAGAATGCACCTATTGCCTTATGGGCCAACACCTCATCTTGTGGAACCCACTCCACAAACAGTCCTATTTCTTTACTGGTCTCTTCCTCAAGCATCTTTAACAGTCCTTTTTCTTGTACCATGTTTGGTCTAATCACCCACAAAAACCGTGTTTTGCTGTTCAACAAACCATGCCAAATCTCAACGACTTCTTCTCTCTTCATTGGAGTGGTGCTTCCAAAGCTAACATAAATAACTGATTTCAAAGATTGAGAATCGAGCCAACTCATGCAGGTTCTATCAACTTCGAAGAAGTTACTCTTAAAGGATGATGTTTTTTTGGTAGTATTAAGGAGGTGATGAAGAGGGCCAAGAGTGTAGAGCTTGGGGAAGTGAAGACGAATTTGGGAAAGTATTGGAAAATCTAGATCCTCAAATGTGTTGAGTATAAGCGCATTTGCCTTAAGTGATTGTTGACTTCGAAGAACAACATTGTCTAAAGTGATATAATTCTTCTGGTTTTCTCGACAGAAACTTGGAAGATCTCTACACCGAAGCAAATTTTCCATGCCTGGCATATTCCTTATGATGCGATCCATGTCCTCTTCTCCTAAAATTTCATTAAACATAGTGTTAACACTTCTGTAACACCGATAATCGGTGTCGTGTGCAGTGTCCGTGTTTGATTATTTTTGAAATAAAGTTCAATAACAAAGAAATAAAGAACTAGAAAGATACCTCTAATGGGAAGTTGATTACACTCCAAGAGCTTAGGGACACATAAAAAAGACCAGAAGCAACAGGCACTAATAGTACGAAAATGAATCAATTGTATCCCAAATTCAGAAGCTAAATCAGTTGCAAGGTCACCGAAGATTCCATCTAAAATAATACAAGTTATTTTCTCAGAAACGATAATATCTCTCAAAAACGGCTTACCACACAAACTCAAGGATTCAATTACATATCCTATCCTTTCTCCAAAACCAGGATGTTCCTCCTCATTATGAAAATCAGGAATAGTCTTGAACTGGAGCTTAGGGTAACATTCTGAAAAAGCTTGAATATCATCGTTGAAACGAATGAGACGATTGTAGATGTACTCGGTGTTGAGGAAAGTTACGTGGAGGTTTTGAATTGCAAGAAGTTCAGCTAACTTTAGCATTGAGTTTACATGGCCTTGTGCTGGACAAGGAAAGATTAGCACATGTGGAGAGAATTTTTCTTTCGTTATGGTTTCCATTGATTTTTCTATTTTTCAACGATCTTAATTCATAGAATAATGTAGATTTGTAATGATTTTTGAGAGGTGGATGATGACTTGACACTAGCACTTCATAGGACTCACATGACAAGTTGTCATGTTGGTGTCTTTATTGAAGACAAACATGGTACAATGTAATAACAACTAGTGCTGGTTGCTTTCATTCGGTGGGAAGGAATTATAATAAAATTGACAATTCATGCGTGTATTAAATTTTTTTTATAATCAAATTGATTGAAATAGAGCACAAACAGTGCTTAAATAAATTATAAAGTTAACGTGAAATATTCTATAAATTTTTTTCACCAATAATAAAAATACAAAATTTATTTATTTTTTAAATCTAGAACAATTCAATTCCAAAGAATTAGTTTAATCCGATAAATAGTTTCTTCTACATTGCTATCTATATTGTTGAAAATAATGTTATTTTCTCGTAACCACAAACATCAACACATGGTCAATCAGCCCGACATCTTCTTGCTCCTGTCAGCTTTACTCTTCATAAGAGAATAAAATGAATAGAATTACTCAACATGATTCAAGATTAAGTTTTCAATTATAGGCTCCAATTCCAACAATGGAATCCCACACCTTGAGGCAAAACGACAAGAAATCAAAAGATGAAAAAGTTCTACATGCATAAGGTCAATGAAAGTATGAAACATCATCCCTTGGCTAATTCTTTTTTGGATGGAAGTTTGTTAATAAACAAGCGCCAACCAAAAATTTGAATTTTTTATGGAACTTTGGTCTTCCACAATCTCTTTAGCTGCAAAAGATGCTCATCACTACCCCTGTTAACAAGCTGAAATTTCAACATCCCTCTATAACAAGATTTCAATGTAAACAACCCCGAGAAATCGTCGGCCCTGACAAAACTATCCTCCATTTCTCCGAACCGATTTCCTTATTTAGATTTCTCCCCTCTATGAATGCTTTAATTGATAATGAGAGTTTGGTCTGAAACATGTTTTGACCCTTTCCTCTTTAGGTCCGACATGCTTGATATGCGTTTTGGAAGGTATTTGGGTTTGCCTTGAGATTTGATGACTTTTATTGCTTGATTGTGTGATGCATTCTTTTTCCAATTTCGGCTTCAACATGTTTGTGTATGTGTTTTTTTTAAGTAATCGAAGTGATTGATGAGCTTTTCTTTTGGTTTGTCATGTGGCGAGTTGTGGGTAAAGTGTCGGTTTATGGTGTCGACCTGATCAAAAGGGATTTAATCGCCGGTTGGAGGAAGCCTTATCTTGAACGTGCAAAAAAAATTGAAACCACTATGAAGCAATCAATAATGGTGGCGAAGTAGCACTGCCCAGTTTAGTATGTATCAAGCCAATATCCTTTTGAAGACATCTTTGGTACGTTCCTTATGATTAGCTTTCTAGAGGACCGAAAAGAAAGAATTCCAAACCTCTTTTGTCCACTGCTATTGACTTTTGTAGTATGCTCAATACACACTCTTGTAGTTGCTTGTTAGTTTTTCATGTGGTTTTGCAATGTTTAGGACGAACTTGATTTGTGTTACAAAACTTAAATTGTTTTACCTTTGGGACAATGATGTGAATAGCAATAGGACCTTATCACTATTGTTTTATCCTAATTACTGTCTTGTTTTTATTGTAGCTTAACACGCTTCTGGAAGTGTCCCTCAATCCTATGGGTATTTAGCTTCTGCGGTAATTTCTCCATCAGAAGTTGCGGTCCCATGGAGGTCTTTGAAACCTTGGCTCGGTTTGTATACAAAACATATGAGATTTCAAGAATTGCAAGCACAAATATTAAAGACTATGGCAGATCAAATCATCTGCGAATATTTCTCCCAGTGGCATGCAAAAGCTTACACATCCCTGTTGTTTTTTTTAAAAGACCCTGTCGGTTGCTGGTGAAGTGCAGCAATGAGTTTCTTTGGAAAGTAGAAATTAATTTTAGTTGCAATTTTTATTTCAATGGTTATGTAGTTCCAATTTTGAATGCTTGAATCTTTGGGTTTTGTACTCTTGGGAAGAGCTTGAATTATTTTGAACATTTTGAAAACTTTTGAGTTTTGCATTTTGTGAACTCTTTTAATAAAAATTTGAATTTTGAAGCAGTGGAAGTCAATTTGTGTGAACCGGCTTTAAATCCGCGGATCCGATACAGTAACTTCTTCACCTTTTCATCTCGATAAAATTGAATAAACCAACAACACACATGAAAAGATACCCGTGTCTTTTAGAAGAGCAAGCTATCAAAGGCAAGCTCAAGCATCGAGACCAAATCTAGCACAAGAATCACCGTCCCACATTACTCGTACTCTTGCAAATTGAGTCCTGAAGATAACTGGTACATTTGGAATTTTTGAGTTAAATCTGAAGAGGTTTATGTGAAAATTTTCCTGAATTAAACTTCAATTTTTGAATGGTGAACTTTGAACCATAACTCCTTGAATATTACAACTCGAATGAAGCTAATTATAGTTTGAACGTAAACTTTATAAAAATAAATGAATCCTCCTTCGTGATGATCCAATAGAGTTTCTGGTGATAACAAAATTTGGTGAGGAACCATGAAGATACAATTTGTGATACCTCCTTCCATAACTCAATCAACTCTCAGATGCTCAAAACCAATGGAAACAGAACACTAATCTTCCTCGAGGAAACCTTTGAGAAATGACCAATAATACTTGGAGCTTTTGGACTTAGAATCCGTTGATCACGTCTTGAAGTATTTGACCGTGAGAATGAATATCAACTCTATTTGAAACCGAATATTTTGCACAACCTGTTGGTAAAAACCTGTTGGTAAAAAAAAGGAAAGCTTGGGCACAAAGACTGCATGACTTAAAGATGCTATGCGAGAAAAACACAAAGAGGAAGGATCTTAGGTTCAAAAACTAGGGTGTGACACCAAGCTCGTGGGGTTTGATGCTAAACACTTCCACTAGCAATGTGAATATCATAAATGAGGCTTAAATCTTGATTAGAGTTGATTTGGGAAGCTTTGGAATCAAGACATCCATGTTGAGCTGGTTTTGTAGCAGTGAGTTTTCGCCAATTTGTGAGCTTTGATTCTCCCTAACCATGAGGAGTTATGGAACCCACTTGTACTTTTTAGAAAGCCCTCATTAGGTACTACAACATTCATATTTGAGTTAGGAACTCATTCCACTTGAAACTAGGTCAAAACTCTTTGTGAAAATGCTAAATTTTTTATTTACATGTCAAGAAACCTCAAAATTTCCAAGTGTTTAAATTCTTTCACAACTTGATGGATTCATAACTCCAAATCCATGAATTTTTTGCTCATGGATCAGTAGGACACTTTTGTGAGGAGTCTTAAGACCTTTCCAACAAGTTTTGAACCACTCCATTTGGATGTGTGGTTACGACGTTATGACCATTTGAAGTTTGGTCATAATTAGGGTTTTTTCAGTTACCCTTGTTTCTTGATTTGCAAGTTATCCATCGATTCTTGATTAAATCTCCACCAAACTTAATAATTAAATGTGAAAGATATTGGAAACAATATTGGCTTCAATTTGGGGTAAAAACCCTGTTGGTCAATGAGTTGACTTTTTTGATAGACGAACCGAATAGTTGCAAATCTCTGAATCGACAGTTGATATTCTGGGTTCCCTGAGGCCTTGAAACTTCTTGGATAGACTTCATTGGGTCATATGAGGCTTATGGACCATAATTTCCTCACTTTAAAACCTTCTAGACCAAAAGTCAAACTACAGTTGACTTTTCCAACAAGAAACCCTGATTAGGGTTCTTGCACTGCACTGCTTCCATTCTCTTGGTGACAACCTCAAATTGGACTAATTCTTGGTCACATGTGATATCCTTGATGATATAGATACTTTTTATATGGAGGATCAATCCAAAATCTTGATTGATCAATCCCTAGAAACCCTGATTTCTTGACTGTATGAAATCCTAATTCATCTGCTTCTTGACAAAGACAAACTTGAAATAGGTTAAGGTTAAATAATCAATGTTTATGCCCCTAGAATGATGATGAAATCTAGGGGGGAAATTTTGGGGTATGACAACGAGGTTGCAATCACTCAAGAGAGTGTTCGATTTCCCTTACTGTTAGTGATAGAAATAAGATTTGGAATGCTTGCATGCGAGAGCGTGAGGGTTATTTGAGTCAAATGGATTTTGATCGGATTATTAGAGAAGTTTAGGGTGAAATCCTTTCACCTGTTGGTAACACTAACTCAGAGTCTTCGCCCTCAAGTTTTTTGGACACTCTGATGGATTAAACAATAACTTTAATAGATAAAGAGGTTCTAATCTACGACCATAGTGTCACTGATGATAACTACATCTCAAAGCTTATTTCTAATAGACTAGTGTCTTCCACCACGAATGAGGAAGTCATTATTTTAGAACCTTGTGTAGTTGGTGATAGGGTCTGTATTACTCGGCCCAAGGGAGTGCTCGATGATTATTTCTACTTCTATTGAGGGGTAATCGAGGATTTCAAGATTCATATCCCGTTTACTGATTTTTAGTTTGATCTCCTCAAAACCCTAAATGTAGCCTATTTTTAACTATGCCTAAATGGTTGGGTTTTTATCAAAGCTTATACGTGTTTGTTTACTATTTTTTAATAACCTTATAAATAGTCATATTTATTGATTTTTTGCATTGATATTTTTATTTCAGCCAACGTGAACAACCTCAAGCTCTCTGGAAAAAAAAATAATGATCAAAGTCAGAGCGAGGCGTGGGTATCAGTTTACTTCTAAAAATGATCAGACGGGTATTCAAACTCGGGCCCTCAAAAGGAAGAAAATGGAAGTTATCAAAGCAACTCCCACTGTATCCGAGCCCCAACCTACCTCAGTTCCTCCCCCTGTGGATTCTAAGTTGGTCTATCCAAAGAAAATTAAGACCTTTATAAGTAATAATGTTTGTCTGACTGACCTGGAAACACCACCTTGATGCAGAATTCAGGTAGCAGTCACCAAACTAACCCAT